CATGTTTTGATTTTGCAGGATATCAAAATCCTTGCGACTAAAAGCAACCATTCTACAAGCTAAATATGACTTTTGCTCTAAAAACTGCTAAAAGCATTTTGCCTTTTTATCGATATAATAATTAATAAAATCTTATAAAAGATGCGCCACCCATAACATACTTTAATTTGTAAAGTATGCGTGCAAGAGTTCTTGCAAGCGAATTTATTTACTTTTCTGTGGGAAAATATATAGAGGTTATTTCAGAACTTAATAGATATATAAATTTAATTTAATATCCCTTTTAATCCAGGACTGGATCCAACTAAAAGTTTCTTCTGTAGCACTTACAATGACATTATTATACGAATGTCATAAAATGTACTTTAAATTAAACTTATAATATGAAGTAATTTAAAATTTTATCAGAAGAAATTTATAGATTTCTTACGAATTGTTAAAAGTATTTATGGAGATAACACTATCATTCAATACAGTTTAGAAAAAGTAAAAAATAAAATAATAATTGATATCAGCACGTAGTCCGTGTTATTTTCTAGAACTACCAGGTGGTAATTTAATCATATTCTTGGAATTAAAATTATATAACAAACGGATGCCCTGGATTTTCCTGAAAACTTTTTATTCTCAATTGTAAATGCTATATTTGACATCATAGACAACAGTTTTCAATAAAAAGTTGCTATTACAATCCGAAACATATTTGCAGTTTGTATTCACACGATAATCAAATTTTCATTTTACTTTAACGGAAAAACTGGATGTTATATAGCCTATATTGAGTGAGTTTTATAATTTATTTATTTACTTATTTATTAAAAAATAAAAAAAATGTAAGCCACTGATCTGTAAGTAGATTTTGTGAAGAGTATAATTCGAAAGAACTCCATATACCACAGCGATTCAATATGATATATCAAGTGGATCGTATTTTAAATTAGCTCTGAAACTATCTTATAGATTTATAATCTATTCCTTCCTTATTATTTTCAGTTTTTTCAATGTAAATCCATTTTATTTTGCAATTGAAGGATCAGTTTCTATGCAAAGCTCAGTGCAATAGAATAGGCCTATATAGGAGTATACTTATCCATAGTGTATTGTTATAACGCATTTAGTGAAAATATAAATATCTCTTGACATTGAATTATTTAAAAACATAAATTTATTAATACAAAAAATTTATATTTTATATTTAGTTAGGTCAGTGTGGATTTATATAATTAATAAATAATTAAAATTTCAATTCAAATGAACTTCACACGATAAGGAAAATTTCTTCATTAATATGCTGATCTCTATTTATTTTACTATTCTTTATTTAAAAATCTATTAAAAACATTATTGTGAAAACGTTTGTGTTCAAAATATATCAATGCAACACATGGGTGATGCTTTCCGAGAGAAGTGTCTATGGCAGGGGGCGGCAACCTTTCGGCGGTATTATGCCGAACCTAAGTTATAATGTTGATCCGGGTGCCGCCATGATTCTACTAATTTTGTTATATGTAGTATCAAAATTAGTCCGGTTATAATGGACTTCAAAAATTAATCATTTAAATTTAATTTTTACTAATTTCTATTCAATCAAAGTGTCACTGAAAATCGTCCCGCGTGCCATAGGTTGCCGACCTCTGGTCCATGTTCTATTTAGTTATTAGAGATGTGAAAAAAAATCTGGAGGACACCACGCGGCTAGTCCAATGGTAAAGCCCAAAACCCTCGACCAATGTTCAGTGGCTTTATCCACTCAGATGACTAGTGAACTATGCGTGCTGCGAGAACGAATTATTTATTTTGCCTGTTTGTTGANATCATTTCGAAAATTGTTTTCCAAAAATATTATATTTGTTAATTATAAATTGCTAAGGAGGTAAAAATATTTCGAAAATTTAAAACAGATAAATACAAATAGTATGTGATATCTTTCCATTATTAGTTTATCAGATTATAAAAGTAAATAACTCATATTTTGAAAACAACGAAAGATAAATAGTAACTTAACTACGAAACTATAGGGAATTAAAGACTTGTTTTGTAGATATATATAGTATGTATGTATGTATGTATGTATGTATGTATTGTGTGTGTCTGTGTGTACAGTACGTGTTTACATATTACAGAATGGGTTAATGATTAAGAAACGGAATTTGGCACGAAAGCATGTGTATAGGGGCATTGACGTATTAAATTCTAGTGGTTAAAGGTCAAAGGTTGAGAGGATAGAGGGATGTCACTTTTCATACCTCGAGTGATATTGGATTTAATGAAGATTTTTCTCGTTATTGGCATTTACAATTTTTTTTTATAAAACTCATCTCTGCTCTCAAAATTAAGCTTTTTTGCTATTTTATAATAATTAATAATATAAAAAGTTTTTAAAAAATAAAATCTCTTAACAGATGGTGCCACAGACAATTTTAATTTTGTGATGTCTTAGTATTTTTCGCCGGGAAAGTTACGCAGCTTTGTTGCTGTGTTTTTTTTTTGGTCTACTGAAAAATCTGTTTTCATAAATGCAAAATTTCAATTGAGATTTCATATTAAAAAAGATCGGACAAACGGAATATGGCAACACAACACTTGGCGATCTGACAAGAGAAAATGTCTCCCGCGAAGAGTTTCTACGGGAAACTGGTCTCTGTTCAGGTGTTAGACATGTAAAGAAAATCAAATTTGCTGCAAATTGTAACATTAATTAATACAAATCAATTTTTACTAGTTAGTTAATTTTTCTGGTTTAAAACTAGTTTCAGTTAGATTTTTTAAGCTCTCTCCACCATTCATTTTATATATGTCTATTATGTCCCCATATATGTCCCCAAACTCATAATGAGAAGGTCGAGTAGCGAGGCATGACTCGAAATATCCATGAAAGTTTAATTTGAACCTGCTTAGATCCCCGAAGAGTTAATGTTAACGACTTTTCTGCCTTGATTTTCTTTCCTATTTTAGATTATTTTTATCGTCTTGAACTCAAAATTTTATCATTCTCGCAGATTAAATGTAATGAAACGAATCGGATATATGTTATCGTTTTATTTTTAATATTAAACTATTTCCAATACCGATATCACAATTTCTTTCAAAAATCTATTTGCATTTGATAACGTATTCGATATACGAAAGGGTTTTTATAAGAAAACAACTAAAGTTGAATAAAAAATTGAGCATTATGGTTGCGAGTGATCAAAGAAGATCCTAGTTGGGTTTTCTACAAAAAAAAAAAAAAAAATGAGCTTCAGTCACTTAGTAGAGGGGAAAAAAGACGGGTGTTCGAGAGGAGAATGACTCACCAAGGTATAAAGTCAGTGAAAAACTGTTGTACTTAGCAGGTGTTTAACCACCGGAGAAACAACGAGAAAAAGATATTGGTTCTATGCTGAAATTTATAGATGGAAAAAGGATTCATTTTCAACGTCATTTTAAGTGAATAGTGACTATGGAATTACATTTTTTTGCATTTCGTACTTCGTGTACCTAGGCCCAAATTCACAAAGTGTCCTGAATTTGGGTAGCGCAATATACGACGAATGTTCGTCTTAAATTGCGATACGACAAAATTTGGTATTCACAAAACTTGTAACCGAAAATGTCGTAAATAGACATCGTTACATTACGACATAAAGTGGGATGTCGTAAGTCAAGATAATTCAAGCTGGCCGATGAGTATTTAGCGATCGAGAAAGCTAAATACTTTTTACTAAATACTAAATATTTATCGTTTATTTCGTCTGTTGATCGAAGACATTTTGTTAACGGAATTAATCTGATACTATCGAATATCGAGGGAAACGATTTTAAGTTTAATTGAGGAACTGAAACCTCGTTTGGAAAGGCATACGTGTATAACATACTATTATGTTAATCATATTAAAATTATAAACAGAATTGTTATGATGTCTGCATTCAGCAGAGCAAGGCTGTTTTAATCTATAGCTGTTACGTAGTCACATCTGATGAACGATGAGTAACGTGTGCGTTGGAACAGAAAGCAGCTATCATTGGTCAGTTTCAGCTAGTGATAGGTAGCGTAAATGAAAGACACTATTAAATGTGATGTCAAAACACCAAACATATTCCGAAACAGCGCTACTGTAGAGGAAGTTCAACAGGAAAATACTCAACAACTCCGGAGATGTTGAGTATCAACTGACAATTTGATTCACAATGTTTCCCCTTATTAAGCTTGCCAGCAAGTTTTGTTTGAGTAACCTTTCTTATTTCCCGTCGTGCTGGCTTCTTAACTCCTTGCATGTACTATGGGTACCCAGGAATAATGCTTGGAGCAGCACTTGGGATCGGTATCCTCTTTCGTTCAAGAATCTGATTACAAATCAGGAAAGTGTTTACTACAAACAAATGATCAATCGCTTGGCCGCCACAAGGATAGCCTCTTTTGTGGCTGCAAGTACAAAGTTTACCTGTCCGCATCTGCGAGGTATAAGGATTCCCTCTTCTATGCTTAATGCAGAGATCGCTTCTTTCTTTCCGGTTCCGCCTTAATCTATCTCCATACGACAAAGTTGTGCGATATCCTAGTTGTTCTAGTATAATATTGAAGAAATAATTAGCAAAGTTATCATATAAATCGTATGTTATATTGCAAACATGTATGATAATCTATTATTAACTAACTTGATTCTAAATTATGAATTTATGTGCATGTTTTTCTATTTTTTCTAACTTTTTAACATTAATTTTCATGTTTATGAAATCTTAATTGTAAAATGTTATAGAAAACTATTGTTTATGGACAGTTATTGTTATTATGCCGCAATTAATGTATAAAATCAATATTGAATATATATAGGTCTATACAATTTTTTAAAAATGTTTTTTTTAAACATTTTTAATATATAAAATAGAGTTTAAAATTACTGTGTTGACTTAAATTACTTTCGTAGCAAAGTAATTAATATAAAGATATAAAAATACTGTAAAAATGTTGGATAATTACATTTTAAGAGATGTAATTTCGTGAAATTTTATTGTTGTAGTTTTTATTTAGGAAGAAAATTAGTAATTGTGTTAGGAGATTACGATATAGTGAAAGAGGTTCTTAGTCGAGAAGAATTTCTAGGAAGACCAGATAGACCTCCTAATAATCTTTTAGATAACATAAAAAGTAAGTCATTGCGATTTCTTTTGATTGTTTTATCACAATATAATAATATGTGATCAAGAGTCCATATTTCAATGTCTATTCTCTTTTTTCCTCCAAAGGTTTCAGTGGATCAACGGGAAATGTATGGCGTGAACATCGACGATTTGCCATTCGATCATTCAGAAATTTAGGATACGGTAAAGCTAAATTGGAAAAACAAATTAATGTACAGTAAGATTTTAAATTGAAAGCGATAATGCCGTATATTGAAGAAATTGCTAAATAATAAATACAATTATTTATTAATAGGACGAAATAGCGATTTTGGTCAAGGAAGTAAAAAAATTTCATGGTCAACCTTGTGATTTTCGAAGGTATCTGCAATCAAGCGTATCGAATAATACAACATTTTTAGTATTTGGGAAAAGATTCGATTTTGAGGATTCGACGAGATATTTCTTAGATACCGAATTAAGAACCATATCAGACTTTTTTCGTCCAACCAGTGTTCATGCTTATTTTACCTGGATAAGACCAATCCTTGCATTCTTTCATATCTGGAACTATGATACTTTACAGAATTCGTGTTACAAATTAGATCAATTTCTACAGTAAGAATATATTTTTATGATATAGGCTATATCATGGGAGTCCGCAGAGGGGAGAAAAGAGAAAGAATTCTAGAGTCGAACAAACAACTCTACAAATTATAATCGTAAAAGTGAACATAGTCGAAAGTGTAAGATATGCAATCTTACACCTTCGACCATGGGAAGCTTTCTCTGTCTTTTAGTATTGATGTAACACCATATTCTTTAATCTACTTGCTAGAAAATATCCAACAAATTAAATAATTAAATAAAAATGTATTGATGTAATTATTTGTCTCCAAGCTTTACCTCCCTGGAAAAAGTTTTGCGGACGCCCATGAGCTATATACTGTACTGTATACATAAATATTTTTATTTTTAACTTAGAAGAGAAATTGAAGAACATAAAGCTACTCTTAATGAAGAAAAGATAAGAGACTACATTGATGATTATCTAGTTGAAATGCAGGAAAGAGAGAAAAATAGATCCACGGTGCCTTTTTCCCGTATTTATATTTGATTTTAAGTCTATTTTATAAAAAATTTTTTATTTACTATCAGTCTCAGGTAGCAAATTTATAAGTATATTTTTATATTTAAATTAGTTAACATGCTGAAAGGAAATTGTGTATCATTGATGACAGCTGGAATCGAGCCAGTTTTAGCATCGCTCGAATGGTGCATTGCAACAATAGCAGTGTATCGGGATGTTCAAAAGAAAATTCAAAAAGAACTGGATACCGTAATTGGAAGAAATAGATTCCCGGAATGGGCAGATCATATTAATTTACCATATTGTAATGCCACCATTTGGGAAGTTCTAAGATGGAAGACAATAGTACCCATCAGCATGTTAAGAAGGTTTTACTTATTTCTTTTCTAAAATTATAACAAAGTAGATTTTTGTTTACGAAACAAATCTTACTTTTAGAACGACACAAATATCTACGGTCAGAGGTTACGTGATACCTAAGGATACCATAATTATGACAAACATATGGGGAATTCATCACGATCCGGACTATTGGCACGATCCTGATGTATTTCGTCCAGAAAGATTTCTCTACGATGATGTCAATTTAAACAAGAAGCCACCATCTTTTATCCCGTTTTCATATGGTGAGAAATGGCATTATAATTTCTTCAAATAATTTATTTTATAAATTGATAGCTCAAAGAAATACCTGCCAAGTTTAATTATTTACAACCAAATTATGAAGTATACAGAGTTTAAACTCAATAGATGATTTATCTCCTCCAAAGTCGTTGAATTAGTCTGGTGTATTGTATCATTGAGATATCATTAAAAATATTTGTCAGGATTTACACCCGGGGATGTGTACTTCATCATTTGGTTGTAAAAATATATTAAATTTAGTAGTTTTCTTTTGGCTACTATATTAATTACATTAATATCTAAATAATAATAATAATATACAGGAAAAAGATCTTGCCCAGGAGAGACTCTAGGCCAAATCGAAGTTTTCTTATATTTCGCCACTCTTCTTCATTGCTTCGATATTCGTCTTCCGAAAGAAACTGATGGAAAATTCGATAAAACTATCGGAATTGCCGAAACGATTAAAAAGTACAGTTTGTGCCTAATCCCACGACATTGATTATAATTAGTGTCGTGAGATACAATAAAAATTATTATTGTTTTAAAGCAAAAATATTAATACGCATAAATACTGATATTGAAATTTATAAATCTAATTGAATATCTTCATAAATTCATGTATTTTAAGAAATGTTATATAGGAAATCTGACACATGCAGTGTCCGATAGTTATTTGTTTAGTATAATAAAAAAAATCCACGTGTACAATTTTATAATTTTTTTAAATTGTTTTTTATTTTTAGAATTTTGGGTATAATTGCACTTAGGTAGTCCCTATAGCGACCGACGCAGCTACTTACTACACCGGCATTTAAATAAAAAGAAAAAAATCTTTCACTCACCGTTGACATCATATTTCTAATTCCTTTTCTCCGATTTCTTCGGTAAAAAAAAAAAACATGGTTCGGATGATTATTTCGTAATTTCATCCTTTTTTCATGGTAGAAACTTTTTCCGCATTCTTATACACACATCTACATTCTTCCTTTTACGATTTTCGGATTTATTGGTACTCACTTTCGGGGCCGAAGGTACAATTTCTGGCTCTTTTCATACTAAAACACGTCCCACTTCCTGGATAAAACTTACTCGTACGCTGAACGAACAGGTCGAACCGTTCTCCTAGTTTTTTCCTTTTGCTCACAACAATCTCGTCGATTTCGACAACCTCTCCCGGTTCATTCAATTTTCATTCCGGTAAAATTAGACTATGAAACAATCGTAATGTGTCGTACGAAATTCGTCCAGTCAACAGCTGTTCGACTACTCGCACCCACAGCAAACAGCTGACAGTACTGTATATTCTATGCAAATTAGATGCCAAATAAATGAAAAAATACTTCCCCAAGAAATTTTCCCAAATTTATATTTAAAAATTACTTCAAATGACGAACTGTTCATTTTGCATTTATGACATCTAAAAGAAATAGAATTTCGATCTTTTCGTTAATTTAATTTACGACCACCATCACATTTCTGCATTTGCTGGTTGTAAACGTACCAAATGATGGCAAACGTACCAAATGATGAAATTCTCTTGTCAAAATCAAATTCATGACTTTCCGATACTAAAAAAAAATGAAAAAAAAATTCCCTCGAAATACACTTTTGCCTAGAAAATTGTTTATGTTTTCCAAACTCTGCCATTACAATAATAAACGACAAAATATCAAATGTAAACTTCGAAAAAATATGATTCGCACAACAATAATGTATATAACTTTTTGAACCTGATTAATTAAATTACTGTTAACAAAGTTATAAAATGTTAGGAAATTAATCTACAACCGAAACGACTAGAAATCTTGTAAACTAAAGACAGAACAGCTTAACTTTCAAAGATTAACTTTTAAAGCACGCGTGTTGTCGAGATTCCAGAAGTGCCGCCATAGGGCTACCTAGATACATTTCTACCGAATTTTGATTGAAATCGTTTAAACTAACGAATTTTAAATATCTCCATATATGTATATATATATATTATGTTATAATTTATACTAAATGTACTTAATTAATTCGAAATTATATTTTAGAAGGATTAATTAAAAATGATTGGTAATGACTACATAAACTGTAAATAAAATAATTTTTAAATCCTTTTCTTTTTTATTCAAAATATTTAACTATAGCAAAAATATCCAAAAACGAATTGCTTAATTTTTCCAGCAACATTTGGTAGCGTCATCTGTTGCGATATTTTATTTTAAAAAACATTAAATATTTTTTAACGGTTACAAAATGACAAAAAAAATTAACTTTGAGAATGTGGATGTGTTTTATAAAAATTTCTAAACGCTAATAATGAGTAAAATCGTCATTTAGTCCTGCCCTACTGAAGATAAGGAGTCTTCCCTTATATTTTTCTACCCACTCGACCTTTAATCATCAAAATTTAATAGAATTAATCTCCCTAATAACGAACTTCTCTGCAAAATTTCAGACATTTTCGACAAAAAACTACAGGAGTTATTAAGCTTTAAATAGGGTGAACAAAATTGTGCTTTCCCCATCATACACACTAACATCCATACATACACAAATTACCTCCGAATTTTTTAATTTTTTTTAATTTTTTGACGTTTAAAAACTGTAACTAGTTATAAAAGTTTCACGAGAGTTACTCATAGAAATTTTAATCACAAGGTAATGAATATGACGATAATTTCCGCCGTAATGATGATTTCACACAAGACTCATAGGAAGTCAGTCTCGATTTGTGATGGAAAAACAGTCATTTTAATTAAAGTAATTTACTCGAGGCATAGAAATAGACTTTATTTCTCATTTTAAATACTAAATTCTTATTCTTTTAGAAATTATAATCTTTTCCCCACAATAACAAATAATGGAAAACGTTTAAGAGCAAAGGTCAAGAGTATCTAAAAAACACTTTTTAACATTATTTCATAATCTTATATTTGATTTGAATTTTAAAAATATTTTCAAACATGTAAAAACAGTTAAATAAAATGTTTATATATTGATATGTTAATGTTTTGAAGTGTAATGGTATTTATTTAAGAGATTTTTTTAATGTGTCACTGCTAGTAAGGATGATTCTAGCTACTTTTAATTAGCAGAAAATATTTATTATAAAATTTTATAATCTTGTAATCAACTGGAATTATTGCAACTTGAAAAAATATGTTCTCTTATGGTTAAAATTTTTTATATTTTTAATAAAATAGAGAATTCAAATTTTTATAGAATTAATTTCTAAAGACTTTATTTACATCTAAGTTTGACTGTATTTAATTGCATTTAATGGTAAGTGTAGATATTTTATAACTTTTCTAATAATTATTATTATACTCTAAATTTATAATTAATNTTATATATAAATTAAATATCTAATTTTTTTTTCTTAATATTTAACGAGAAGGTATTTATACTTTTTGTATCTTTATAAATAATTTGTAGTTTATTTTATTTAAATTTAATTTTTTAAAAAAATAAGTTTTTGATTAAATTTATAAAAAGTTGTTGAATTTTCTTCAATACACTCATACACACATTTATATCATATAAACACCTACACCTATACACAAACAAAATTAAAAATGTATGTGTTTCGTCAGCATACATTTTTAATTACACATTTATTTTATAAATTAATAAAATATTTAATATTAATACTTTTTAAGTTAACTTTTTAAATAAACTTATTAGACTTTACAAAAACCAAAGCAAAACAGTGACAAAAATCAATCCTTAAAAAAAGAAAAATTACATACTGATTTAGCAAATACCCTTTAGAAGCTTTAAAAAATACGATTATTCCAGTTCTTGTACAATAATTCGATTATTATAATTAAATTTAAAATTCATCAAAATAGGATAAACACTAAAATAATTTGATTAGAGCTAAAGATAAAGATGTACACTACCGTGAGTTATGTTCCTGAGGTGTGAAAACAGACTAAATGTAAACATTTTTAATGTTTCTTCTATTTTAAATATACAGTATTTATCGTCTTAATTTATCAACAATAATTATAATATTTAGAAGATTACGAGTCGTGTGTGCAAGTTAGTATGCAGATTACTGTAGATTCTTCTTTTCAGGTTCTTAGTATTAATAATTCCAGGATTATTTTACATCAAATTCATAAGAAACTTTTTGATTTCTCATTATTATATGTATTGTTTACAACAATTTCCATTATTTTAATATATTTTTACTTTATTCTATTCTTTTCGACATTTATTCAAGCGTATCAATCATTTGATTTTTTTAAATTACAATAATGGTTATGAAATATTTATTCATTATGGTTTATGAATATTTATATTTATTGAATGTTTACTTAACACTGACGTAGTCGTTTTTAAAATAATTTATGAAGTTTAGAATCTATTAATCATGGTTATTATCTTGTCACTCTCGAAATCGTCTTTTCATTCTAATGCGATGATTAGGGCTGTACTTAGAATATTTTGGTTCTAAACTATAAAATATAACAGGCCGTTCACCGCTACCAAATAATGAAATATAAAAATGTGAGGCTGTAGGCTATAGGTTCAAAACGTGAGGCTCTAAGCTACATCTTGTTTAACTTATGTGCAAATAGGTTCTAAGTATAGTTCTTCTTCCTTCATTTTTCAGCAAATTGTATGTTGCTGCAATTAGAAAACTATTATTTCTTGAGATTTGTTTTCTTGATGTGATTAAATCATTTTATATTTTAACTAGTGGCTTTACTTCTCCCGCTCGCCCCCTTATTCCCAATATAAACTATTAGTAAAAAAATTTCGTGACGATTTTCAGTTAAATATTTTATATACCTAAAGTAGATTAATTAATAGTATATTATTTTGATGTGGTTCTTATGTAGCCTAATAGAAAAGTGAACAGAATAATTGTATTAAAATACATGAAATAAATTGATTTTAATAAGAAAAGTCTATAATGATATATTGCCCGTGGACACTAAGAGACCATTGTGGGTTAGACCAGGTTTACAATGGGGAGTAAGAGTAGTGAAAACTAGATAGCCCATGAAAAATTCCTGGCATTTTTATCTCTCGGATCGATTATAGATTTCCTAGAGCGGTAATCTGGTGCCTTAACCACTTCGGCGTTCCGCCCATCTAAAGAGTTTGTTCAAAAAATTATTTTTGAACAAACGGATAAATCTTAAAGGTTTGGATTGTCTGTATACAGCAACGCGACACGTGGACGATCTGCCGAGGGGAATGCCTTCCGGAGGACACTCTACGGGAAACTGGCCCCCTATTTAAGTATTACAAACGTGAAGAAAACACTGAAAACTTCACATGGCCAGCCGTTGACCAGGCTCGAACCCGCAACCAGCTACTCGGTGTTCAGTGGTTTTAGCTACTCGGCCACTAGTGGGCGATAATCTTTATAATATTTATATATTGAAATGTTTGATTCATTTATTTTTATTTAATTATTAGAAACTCACCTAAATAAACAATCGTCATGTATTTATCATAAATTTTCTTTAAGCATTTATTTTAAATTTTTGGTTCAGAAGAGTCTATACCTCCTCTGTTCCTCTGAATACGCCCGTGTTGGTGTTTAAATACAGTACGTTTTAATTAAGCTTTGTTATTTACATTTTAGTGTAACCACTGTTTACTTCCTGTTTAAAAGTTCAAAAAGCTGCTTATAGTTTAACAATCTATTTTAATAATAGAAATAAGATATTCATAATTGTTTACATTTGTTAATTTATTTTTTATAAGCCAAATTAATAAACATGTACAGGGCGTTCATAATTAAAATTTACATTTCAAAAAGCTATAACTCGGGAACTAATCAGCAGAATGACGTTATATTTCACACGAAGACCTTTGTTATGATGAAATTTTATTTGAAAACAAAAAAGTTAGTTACAAAAATATTCGCTAGGACGGTAAGTGGAGCTACGACACTGAAAAGAATAACTTAAAATGTCTCAAAACTGCCATACGGTATGCTTTATGGCAGCGTGCTCGATGTGCTGATCTCCAAAACTCTATGGTTGATCGTGCGATTTGGCGATTTCAGCATTCAGACAATGATACCAGCATATCAAGCATGCCGTTGCATAGCCA